TATAGTGATGAGTAGTTTGTATGTAATGATGAGTAGTTTGTATGTAGTGATAAGTAGTTTGTATGTAGTGATGAGTAGTTTGTATATAGTGATGAGTAGTTTGTATGTAAAGATGAGTAGTTTGTATGTAGTGATGAGTAGTTTGTATGTAGTGATAAGTAGTTTGTATGTAGTGATGAGTAGTTTGTATGTAGTGATGAGTAGTTTGTATGTTATGATGAGTAGTTTGTATATAGTGATGAGTAGTGTGTATGTAGTGATGAGTAGTTTGTATGTATTGATGAGTAGTCTGTATGTAGTGATGAGTAGTTTGTATGTAGTGATGAGTAGTTTGTATGTTATGATGAGTAGTTTGTATGTAGTGATAAGTCGTTTGCATGTAGTAATGAGTAGTTTGCATATAGTGATGAGTAGTTTGTATGTAATGATGAGTAGTTTGTATGTAGTGATAAGTGGTTTGTATGTAGTGATGAGTAGTTTGTATGTTATGATGAGTAGTTTGTATGTAGTGATGAGTAGTTTGTCTATAGTGATGAGTAGTTTGTATGAGTAGTTTGCATGTAGTGATGAGTAGTTTGTATATAGTGATGAGTAGTTTGTATGAGTAGTTTGTATGTAATGATGAGTAGTTTGTATGTAGTGATGAGTAGTTTGTATGTAATGATGAGTTGTTTGTGTGTAGTGATGAGTCTGAATCCGAAGATTTGATAATCGATGAAGTGAAACAGAAAAAGAAATAAGTGAGTGAGTTTGGTTTAACGCCGCTTTTAACAGTATTCCAGTTATATCGCGGCGTGTCAGCTTAATGTGGGAGGAAAGCCCGAAGTGATGCAGGTCTAAGACGTTTACCACTTCGGTGAAACCCACGAGCACGGGTATGGTGCTGACAAACCTAGAAACATAATCGGGGCGAACCGGGATTCGAACCCACAATCATAGGTTTCTGGCGTGCCCAAGGGACGCAACTCTGCACAGCGAATCGTGGCGCCTTAGACGACTGGGCCACCCGTGCCCCCGAAAAAGAAATAAGTAACTATCTTGGTATGGGTACACAAAGCGTTAGACATTATGTTTCGTTTAACTGGTCGGAATACACGAGCAACAGGGCGATCTTCATTTGTGAACATGAGAGCCAGTCTTCTAGATCACAAAAAAGAGCTGCACAGAGTTAGTCCTAAAATAACCCAACTATGATCGTGGGTTCAAATCCAAAATTACCCTAGATTCGTGAACACCATTGACATTTCCACCATGTTGGACAGCCTTTACTAATCAGTGACAAATGTTTATGTAACCACATTTAATATTTCAAAAGTCGAAACGGTGGTTTGATTGAACACTATTGTATCACATATTTATCTGATATTTAGTAGTACGTATTTGCCGTTATCTATTACCAGGATACAAGGTAAGTGAGTGAGCAGGGTTCTATTCTGCTTTGCATGCAAATAAGAAATCCCAACAATGCCAAGGAACATTCGGATATGGTGAAATTGTGACGGTGTAAAGTATATATTTAATCTAACTTTAATTAGGTCCCCATAACGGTCACTATATGAATGTTAAGAAGCACATACTGTACTAAGGAATACGTCCCTTGCCAAACACTGCAGTAGGCAACCAATTTCATACTTTTCAAGGGCGGTGGAGTAGTCTAGTGGTTAAATGGTTCGCTCGTCACGCCGAAGGTCCGGTTTTGTTTCCCCACATTGGTACAATGTGTGAAGCCCTTTTTCCGGTGTCCCATATCGCTGACATATTGCGAAAAGCGGCGTAAAATCATAGTCACTCATTCATTCATAATTTTCAGTAAAGACTATTTATGGTTGTCTGCTTAGGTGTGCTTAGAATTTGCTGCAAAAGTATCTCTGGGACTGGAAAGTGAGTGTCTGTATACTATATATACTGCATATACAGCTGCGAGACACTCGCTGTCAAACATACATTTAAAAAAGAGTAGGGGTACGAAAATAGCTTCAATGAAAAATGATTTTAGTTTCTAGTAATAGTAAAATGATAATAATGAACGAATTGCATAAGGGACAAGAAAAGGTGTCGGCATGTTTTCCAAATAGTACTGCCCAGTGGCCTTTCCCTGCACAATATGGAGTGGGGTTCGCTCATTCCTAGTGATGCCACCAATCACCACAACCGAGCCACCGCCCTTCATGGGGTCTCAGGGTGGGATTGTCTTCAAGTTTATTTCGACGTCGCCAGACACGACCACGCCTTTGAAAAGTGAATCGGGAGTCATCTGAAAATATGACACGCGACCAGCGACGAATAGCCCAGTTTCAACGTTACCTTCACCATTGACGTCTATTTTCAAAATGATGGCTTCTCGACACGCCAGAGTCACGGGATCGATTTCACTCATGGATGCAAAATGTGTAGATACTTTTGGTGTCCTAAATATGAAATGACTAGAAAGTACACTGCTAAATGGGTAATGGGTAATCAAAGCTAATTCAATCACTAATTCAGTGTTGGAAATGACGTAGGATCGATCCCCGTTGTCGGATATTTGAAATTCGCTGTTATATATTATATTATATTATAACTCTAAATTCTGTCCCAACAAACTCTTACTATATTTATCAATATTTTCAACTTGGATATGTCGCATTTAAAACTGATTTATAGTCTCAAGAATAAATTTTAACCTTACCCGTTTAAGTCGAACTCAACATGAATGCCAAATAATTTTGTTTATATTCCTTATCATATACATGCTATCACTGTAACAAATCTCACAACATCAGAGCGCTACCATTCAGTGCAACTATATCACACGATCTGATATAGTGTGTAAAATAAAAGTGACAAAGCCATTTTATAATCATAAGAAATACCTGCTACCATGATAGTCCATGGTACAGTTCCGACTGTGTCACACACACACACACACACACACACACACACACACACACACACACACACACACACACACACACACACACAACACACAACACACAACACACACACAACACACACACACAACACACACAACACACACATATATATCACTTTCAATTTGCTATGATAGCAGGTGGCACGCGTCACACACACTTGCAAACGGAAGTCAATAGTTTGCCCGATATTACACGGGAAGTCAAGGGAATCAATATCTGATATTATCTGATATTTGTGTCACTGATGCGCCATTGTGTGGAAATGATTTCCGCATCTATAGTGTCAACAAGAAAACCATTGAAAGCTTTACCTTGGCCTTGAATGGTGTAACCTTGATCAAACACCTTCTGAGCAAGCGTCGTGTGATTATTTTTGAAATCTTCGAAGATGCTCGATTGTACCTCAAATGGTGTGAAATGTAGACAGGAAGTAATGGTGCTGCTGGAATATTGCTCGACATGAAGGGACAGCTCTCTATTGGACAGTTGAAGTCACCCCTCATGACATACCGTCTTGTGGATATTTGTTGTCATTCTGAATCTGCATGCATAGATCTAAATATGAAACAGACGAGACGGCTGCACGTGTGCCTTATATTTCTAACCCAGCTGGGTAAATGAGTGGAAGCGACTATTTGACCATTATTGAAAGATATCAAATCATTGATATACGTCTTGGCCATTTTCCCTTTTTTATTTTGCCAGTCCTAACAGAAATCCCATTTCAAATGCATAAAGATATAAAGATCAATAAGATTGGTAGCACAATTACTACTTGCCTAAATGTCATACACCCAAATTCCATTTGAGGTTTTGAGAATCCACACAACGCATTTACCTTTATAACATTTATGTATAATTCATTATTTGGTTTTATTACGAAACAACTGAGGGAGTGATTTAGACGTGAATTCGCTTTAAGCTACATTCCGGCAATTGTCCGACGGGGGACTCAGAAATGGGCTGTCCAAGTGTAGGAACGAACCGATGGGTGTGGCCACTAGGCTAAATCATATCCCCTTACAGTAATTTCTTTGCCAGAATATCAATCACTGGTGTGCCTGGTCCAGGTTCGATCAAGTACAAGACCACGGTCAAATAGATGGAACATATTTGATTGTCGTTTCACCATCCTCTTCCAGCTATACTTTGTTACAAAGGAAGGAACGTATCAAACCTATTTACACTAAATATGTGCGCCACTCTGTCTTATATAGAGTAACTGCTACTTATGTGGATTGTCTTGTGTTGGTGGATGAGGTTATTGGTTGTTTGTGCTGATTACGCTGTTTGCGAGCCATTTTGTTGGCTTTAAGATCGTCCCTGATGGCCTGAATTATTTCTGGAGCTCAGTTCCGATACTCGGTGACAAATATGTGTGCGACATACAGTTTTAGTTTTGAATAAAAAGGTGACTATATACATAGATAACATAAACTCTGCAAAAGCACGGCAGTCCGAAGCCATCATATTGTGTAATACCTTCACGAGTGAATGAAGTTTGCTCGAAGCTGCATTAACATTATTGCAGCTATTCCGATGACATCCTTGATGTGTTTCAGTCAATCCACACAGGATCTATAATAGATGTTGCTCAAAGAAGCGTTTCTCTACTTGATAAGGATACGCCAATAATCATTGCTGGTCAAAGATTGTTTTCCCAAGTACATGTTTTTTCTGATAACCCTTTAGATAGGACGTTCAATAATCCTGAATAGGAGAGTATGATAATCAAAATGCGAGATGTCGAAAATCGATGTTCATTAGCAGCATGTGCTTTTAGGTCTTAATAATTCTTAATAAGGTAAAGGAACTTCACGTTAAAATTGTACGCTGAAAATGCACATGGTGTAATGCATAGCAGGCCAGAATTTTGCGAGGAATAGAAATATTTTAACCAGATATCTTTCTTGTAAAGGTCATCGCCGTGCCTTTAAACTCCATCATCCGATCCTTGGTTGATGGGCACATAGTACCCGTACATTACACTTGTCTTGAAATCCAACCAACAGGAAATCAAACCGAGACTAGCGCCAGTGCCATACTGGACTGAAACGGAAAACAAACAATTCCTCGTGGGGGCAAAGGTCTTTTAATAATGACACATGTTTATTTGAAAATAATAACACCTCTTTAAAACAAGATTGTTAGCATTTAGCAGTGTACAAGACTAAGAGAAATTAACACATTTCTGAACAACATGTAGTCGGCATGGCATGTCCCTAACAACCATGAAAACAAATACCGCTTTCAGCTTTGTCAGCAATTTAACAGTCATGGTTGGCTCCCTTAAATTGTTTTATTCATTGACACTATAACAGATGTCAGGGCGTTGCCGTTCATATCAAAATAAACTAAGATCCATTTCTTACGTAAATAGGCAAGCGGCGATATGTATTGCTGTTCTTTCTGAGGTGCGGTGATACAACTTTATCATTGATATATGTGTGTGATATCTGGCGGCAAAGACTAACAACGAGCGATGTGTGATAGTCGTACTCTCAAGAACTGATAATCGATGTTTAGAAAGAATGACTGTCTCTATGTCTGAATGAAAGAGGGAAAGCAGCTAACTTCATGTTTGTATGACGCAAAGGAAGACTAAGGAAAACAGAAAAACGAATAAGTAGCTAACTTTGTATGCGTACACCATAAAGCTATACACATAATACATTACGTACATAATGGGTTTTAACTGGTCGAAATACGTGAGCAATCAAGCAAAGCATATTTTCTGTGAAGAATATTTATGTTGACAATGGTATAAGGTTCTATACGGAAACGTCGCTGTAACAGTATGATAAGAAGTTGTAATACATAAATTGTTTATTTTATGTGATGACAGCAAACATTTCTCATAACAATATTGAACAAAAAGGCAGCCGTATGTTATGGGTACACCTGGTCAATCATGTGCCTGCATTTTAGAGGTGTAATAGAGAAAGGAAGCAGTTTAACTCCATGTCTCAGTTGTGGCATCGCAGGATAGTGAGGTTTGGTATCTTCTTCACAATGTACCCCCAAAACAGTAATTGATACATGTACACTACAGAGAATAGCCAGTCTCGTTTATCCACCGAAACATAATCAAGCGGACGTAAAAGTCAAAATGGCTTTGAAGATTATACGTTTGGATCACTGAAAATCAGTGATGAGACCAGGCTTTCGAGAAAATGGTAAGCATGTCATGCAACTCAAACAATTCTCATAAATAAATAAGTGTTTGTTTGTTGCATGACACAGTGCAGCAGTACCCCAGCCATGCGATGCCAGCCTGTAAACCAACAAAACAATCACGTGACGGACCAGAAAGTTCAGTGACACGATGGCGCACTTGTCGTCGCCTGAGAACCTTAGTGAGCTATCACCACTTTTGCAAGTTTTGAGTAAATGATATTTTAAAATTTGAAGCGCTGTATAATATCAACTGAACACCATTTTTTCACATGAAACAAACAAGTACAAAATGTTTGTAAAGCAAAAGTAATTATCCATCTTCTCATTTAAAGACAAATGTTCTTTTGTTGGAACAGGCTGGTTGCAAGTAACCTTTTTTAGACATAGAATCACTGAAAAACTATTTTCCAGGAAAAGGGGATTCATGAAATTTACAACATTGTTAGAAAAACACCCATTTGGAACGAAAATGCAAATACATCCTTTTGGGTCAACTGTGGCCATAGGACCATCTGGTTCCCAGGCGACGAAAATTATGTTAGCTTTGAAAAAAACTTTTGATATTGCTGCTTTTGTTTATTCAACATGTCATTAACATAACGCCCCTGTATGTTACATCTGCAAAACAAACAGTGGATCTTGTGCAAGGAACAAACTTTGACTCACATTTGTACTGTTCATCATGTTCATGAAATCAAATGGCGTAAAGTACCGTGAGACAGAAGTGCGTGTCTCAAGCAGTGATATCTCAAGACTGAAGTATGAAATGATTGTGGCTGGACTATATCACCAAACGTTTTAAAGACAGAATTGGTACTATTTGTTAATCAAACATAGCATCCAGATGAACATAATGGAAGTCAAACATAAAACATCTACAGAGCAAATAGTGGATCTGGTACTAATTAAGTTGATCAGACAGGTGACAGGTGATGTTGCTGGAACACTTCTCGATGGTGAACTTGGTCCATCCGACGGCTGCTGCTGCAGCTGCTGGGTTTGTTGTCAGGAGACAGTTGGGAGCAGCTGTTGGGTGGTAACTGAAACTGAGGCAAGGCTGGGACAAGTGGCACTGACGACCGCATTCACTGGCGGATGCAGCTGTGAGAGACGTCATCGGTGTGGACACTTTAATGTTGAGTACTTTATTGTACTTTGTTCCTGAAATCAAAACGTATTATCATTCCTCACACAGTTAACGTCTTCAATTCAGGGGATACAAATACAACAGCTATTAATTCATCAACAGAAAACAGTTTCTCCCATAATTAAAAATATAGATTTAAAAAAAAATATGATGGCAGCTGGTTTTAAGTTTATAATCTTGCAGATGTATAGTTAGGGTGGTTCTACAGTTGAAGAAAGACAACACAGAGTTGGTAGATGATTTCCTAGTGAAAGGATATATTACCACTTCGCATCATTGGCGTGCCTTCAACCTCAACCTCCAAAACAGCTAATCGTCCAGTGATGTTTCTCCAGACCTTGACGAAACGAACAGGGCGTGGATGGGAACAGTTGAACGTGAAGGTTTCTCCTTGACCAACCACAGCTGGACACTGGCCGCAGATGATGATTTCCACATCTGGGCAGTCGCTGCTGTCATCGACAGATACGCCCACGTATGCACTCCCCAGGTATGCTTCTGTTAGATGCAAAATTAACCATATGATGGGATAGTGTTTAAAGTTTGAAATAATCAAACTCATTAACTCAATAATACACTTATCATTGTTTCACTTTTCACCTAGTACAGTGGTTATTATTTTAGTACAAATTACACATGACAAATTCTATACAGAATTGGGTCACATGTCAAAGTGTTATTGATATAAAATGTGAATCGTCAATGCAAGAGAATAACCAGTCTGGATTATCTGCCGAACAGATTCCATTTGGCTTCAAGTGCAAAATAGTGGTGAAAACATTAATGGGCCACTAAAAATCTGTGATGACACCAGGTGTTCGCAAAAAGGGCAAGCATGGCCTTCCCTACCGGTAGCACCCATTATTCCCCCAATCAGCATACAACAAGTATTTATTACCTGACACCACACAGCAGTACTCCTGCCATGCGACGGCGGCCTCAAACAAACCAGATACAACTGCAGTTTCACAATCAGAGACACTTACCAATGCCATGGCTGATGGCACTCACAACTGAGATGGTATTGACAGAATAGAACCCCTGTAGATCCCCCTGCCAATAAGGATGCACACTGTCCCGGGTCCAAGCTGGTAAGTTCTGGATATTTCCATCATTCCCAAACTCAGCGTTCCAGTAGACTGTACTTAATCTACTGGGTTTTCCTCTCATGATATTCTCTGCCTTACTTACGGATATATCTGAAAGTATTGAAACAAAAGTGACAAAACAATTACCATAGTCATAACAAATCTCAGCTAAGAGGTTGAACGTTTTCTGTCCAACCGGTGGAACCCGTCACAACACACGCAAAGGCAAGTCAACTGTTAATGACAAAATCAAAACAAGGAATGACATCAGGCATAATGTTTGTCACTGACGCGTCAAATTTGGAAATGCCCTCCACATGTCTACCATAAAGCCTCTTCAAAGCTGCACTGAAGCCTTGAATGGTGTAACCCTTTTCTAACAACTTTTAAGCAGTCGGACGAAGTTATTTAAAGTCTTCGTGGAAATAGCATGCTTGACTGCACCTCAAATGTTGTGAAACGTTGACATCAAAGGCCAGAGCTACTGGAATGTTTTCTGTTGAAAAGTTGAAGTTGAATCTTATGGTCTAAGATATACTAGTTTAGTATACTGGTGCTCGTGGGTTCACCGAGGTGGTAAACCTGCATCAGTTTGGGCTTTCATCACACATTAAGCAGACACACTGTGATATAACGGGATTTCTGTTCAAATCAGTGTTAAACCCAACTTACTCACACACTCTTAGCTATATCGCACATTTTCTTGAGGTTTTACATAATAGCACCCTGTGGGCATACGTGTATGTAATAATGGGTACTGAGTATCGTCATGTTCACTACAGTGTTTAAATTATCCTTCACTATTAGTGGTCAGTTAATCATACCCACATTATCCTCAGTTCATATCTCCATTTATGTACAAATGACGGAACTTTTTTATATTTCGATAATCAAGTTAATGACTTCAATATTTTTTTAAACAAAAAACAACAGAAGAACCCACATCATATGATTTGAGGACGTGTAATAGTCCACCTCGGCAACGGCGACACATCACAGAACGGTGTGATTATAGCAAAATTATTTCCAAATATTGTATAATCCTCATAATCGTAGAACATTTTATGTATGATGTTGTATTACGTTATCAGTACAACAGTGTTTAGTTTCGAGAAATAAACCGTTTATGGTAAAACAGAAACATATATCCTTCAAGGCTCTAAGTGCTCTGTAATCCAGTCAACATGTTCTCAAAACTTGAGACCCGTGACGACCCGGGGTAGAATAGGTCTTCAGCAACCCATGCTTGCCGTTAAAGGCGACTAACGGGATCGGGTGGTCAGGCTCGCAGACTTGGTTGATGCATGTCATCGATCCCAATTGCGTGGATCGATGTTCATGATGTACGTCACTGGATTGTCTGGTCCAGACTCGATATTTTACAGACCACCGTCATATAGCTGGAATATTGCCCAGTGCGGCGTAAAACAACAAACCAAGCCAAGTCAAAACTTGAAGGTCATTAATATAATACACATGGAGGACACCATGCAATTGTAAAGAGCCTTGTTCCATGAACTTCAGAGAACACATTACAAATACACCATGGCAAAGACCACTTACTCAAATTGAACGGATTGTAAAGAGAGTTCTGGTATATTTTTAAATATTCTCCCCAAAATAATGTTGAGTCAAAGTCGAAGTACCGATGAGTTGAAAGTTACAGAACATACCCACAACTGTCGTCTGGGGAATATTAATCGATTCGCTCCTGAGAATGTTATCATTAACAGAATATGGTCCCTTTTTATAGAGCTACTACAGACATATAATCGAGCTATATCAATTTGCAATGTACGAATACCGACAGATTGGGGTCCCTATGCGCGTGATCCATCCGACCGCTTTCGAGAGTTTCAATTTGATTTAACGTGAACAGATCAGCGTGATCAAATTATATCAGTTTAAAAATGTTGGATGTTCCGATTGTGCCATCATCCTCTTTGAAGATTATTATGTGGCACTTTTTCCGAATGTATTTATTTATGGATGAACGTTCGAACGTACGCACACGACTGCACCATGAAATCACTCAAAGTGAACAGAGTTCCGATAAAAAACATTAGAAAACTTCGTTGAAGTGTGCCCTGAGTTTGTGGCCCAAACATCACTAATATTCTCTATGGATCTCTGTAGGCTAGCGACCGCCTCCGTGGCCTAGTGGTAGAGCGTCCGCCCGAAGAGCGGAAGGTCCGGGGTTCGATCTCCGGCCGCTTCATACCAAAAGACGTCTAAAGAAGGTACTTGTTGTTACCCTGTCTGGCGCTCGGCATTAAGGGGATAAAACAAAGACTGGTCGGCTCGGAGTCAGTATACTGTGTCTGAGTGGGGTATTCATGTTAAGCTGCGGCATGGTATCTCAGTGAGCTAGCACTATAAATCGGCATCAGTCCGGACTAGTACAAGCAGCAACACACACACGTACATGCACGTCGCTTTATAAGTGCAATAATCTTGGACGCGACGTTAAACCCCATTTCACCTCACCTCTCCAGGCTAGCGTAAAACGTTGTGAGTAGATCACGGTTGTCTTTTCTTGGTGGCCTTGCCCTTCGTTTGGAGCTGTCAAGCAGACTCGAGTTTATTGACATTAACTTGGTCAGTACAAGGTCGTACAGTTAACAATGTCGTCATTGGCGAGCACTCTGGTTTCCCTGTTCCACGAAGGTACGTACAGGATATACATTCAGCTGATAGATCAAGGAAACTGAACCAATATGAATACACAGTCGGGATACCGGCGGTGCGAGTGACCGACTTCTGGTCCGTGAATCAAAGCGCGGCGCTTGCGACTTTTTAATTATACTTACAGTTGTCCTGCGTTCTAACAACAATGCAGCCGGAATTACCAAAATTTGCAGAAATTGTTACCGGGTTTGCATACACACAACAGCGATGCGTATGCACAGAAATGACAACAATGCCAATGTTTGGGCATATATTAATATTCATGCGCAACAATAACAAATAATAAATATAAGATCACACGCACTCTCGTTAAATACCATTATTACGAAACTCGCTTTCACTCGGTCAGATACCATAGAAAGTCCACTCGATTCGTAAGAATGGTACCAAACGAAAATGAGTATAGTTTTCTCTATTTATCTGCAATTCTAATGTAAATAAATACACGCTTTTAATATCCTACACTAAACCAAAAGTAACAAGACCCGTGAAGATCCGGGGAAGAATAGTTCTTCAGCAACCCATGCTTGCCATGAAAGGCGACTATGCTTGTGGTTAGAGGCGACTAACGGGATCTGGTGGTCAGGATGGTTGGTTGATGTATGTCATCGATGCCAATTGGGTGCATCGATGCTAACGATGTCAGTCACTGAATTGACTGTCCAGACTCTGTTATTTACAGACCGCCGTCATATAGGTTGAATATTGCTCAGTGCAGCGTTAAACAAAAAAAAAAGAACAAAAAAAAAGTAACAATATTATTAAAATGAGTTACATACCTTGTAGAGATAGATAACATAGAGCGACCAGTAGACTCAGACATGTTAGTGGCCTCATGATTCTGTCTCTGGATGGTTTCAGAGCATTTGTCACATTTCATATAGAAGGTACCTAATGCAGTGTTTCAAAACACAATAATCAATAGAATCTTACTTGTACAGACAGATATACTGATTGAAATGGTGTTTATTATTTATGTCACATAAAGTACGAATACATAATGATAATGTACCCAACGTACTCATTGAAGCTCATGGTACTGATGTTGATCGTTTGCCTTGTAAGTCCTTGTACATGTCCTTGTAAGATTATTACCACATCAGTTCAATTACTGTTGATTAGTTGCACATTAATGTCAAATTGAAAGTAGGTATTCATACCTTTGGCAAAAATCAAACACTCTCTTGGTGAATAGTTTGCCAAACTTTATTGTAACTTTATTAATAGAAGCTTATATTTCTGTACATTTCTGCAAACACAAGTTCTTCATGGACTGAATTTGATTGTTTTATGGACCTGTTATTTGGTATCCTGTTAACGGCTACACACTTCAGTTCCAGTACATTTATTCAAAGTAAGCAGATTGAGATCTCGCATCCGTGACCAATTATGCCATTTACTAGGCCTTCATCTACACTCGTCCGGGTAATGATTTCTGCTCTGTGATCATCTTATCCGTTCCCTTGGGTTATATAATGTCCACACACAGGTCCATTTGACTTGTATGTGATCTTACAAGATGACGACTGGCCAACCAGATAGGTAGATACTTAAACGAGTATTGATACCGACTGTACAATAGAAACAGCTTCTCCATTCCAAAACACACACCATGACTTCAGTGCCAGCAAACAAGACACACAAGATCAACAAATGATAAAAATATCCTGTAAACAATACAAATTGGTAGCGCATTGTGTTTAATGAAGTGCAAAGACATCTGGAAATTTATTCCACAGCAAATTGCATATGACGAAAGACGAAACTGAAGATTACCTGGTGTCCAGACTGGGTGACATGGGAATTTGCATGTCATCATGCTCAAATGTGTGGATAACTATTCATGCCTTCGGTTACTTGTATGCCTAGTCCAGCCTCAATTTATTTTGCTTTGATGAAGCTGGAACTCATCGTCTTTGGATGCTGACTGTACACAAGGAGGGCATGCGTGTTGCATTTCAGTATGTAACTTTGTCTTTGAGTTAATGAATTATCATCACATAAAAGTTCCACAATGTCAGAAAAGGCCTCAAACAATTTCTTGTCATACTAGACGTCTAAATTGATTAGGTGGTCAGGCTCGGTGGCCTATTTGACACGTCGTGTCGTGTCACCATCCTGTTCAAGCTTTACTTGACTCAGTTTAAACTCATTCACACTAAATATAAATGTCAGCCGTGTCTAGACCATCTGGAACATAACCCCGTGTGTCACTGTCAAATATCACATGGACATATACTTATAGCAACAACAAGGGGAACCGTAATGGAAGGGCGTACTCTTATCCGTACAGTGGCGACCGACGATTACTATTACGTGTGAGATGTTGTGAATAGGACAATCAATGAACTTTGGAATGATATCAGCGATGTGTCATAAAGCTAAAATTGATAATCGATGTCATAAACAGTTGCTGTCTCTGTGCCTGAATTGAGGAGAGAAAGCAGCAATCTTCACTTTGACTGAGGACAAAGGCAAATTAAGGAAAACAGAAAAGTCGCTAACTTTGCATGTTCCACAAAATGGTTATAAATTATGTTTCTTTTAAATGGCCAGCTTCCTTTTGCTGGTCATTAAATGCAACTGAATTGGGCATCCCGTTTGCCGTGGGTTGTGCCCCCGTGTCGATGGAGGACGGGAGTTTGTGAATTAGGGCACTAGAGCCAGGAACAGGCTCATTGGAACTTAAATTTCAAAACAATATGACAATTGGCTTTTAGTTATGAAATATTATTATCTCACTTTTAATATTATTAATTTTGACTAGAATCCTATTCCAGAAGGTGGAGGCCCATGGGCCAATCTGGTGATGTTGACCTCCGAAATCTGTATGTTTGCAATTTCTTGTTATGGCCGAACCCGACTGATATTTATTTTGGTAAACAAATACAGGTTTTTGCGTCGTACTTGCTGGAGTATACCATCCCGGAATCATGTTTGTATGCTGGATATCAAGCGCACTTAAACACCATTGTTTGTGGCACTCCATGGTGGGTGGGGAGCAAAGGGTGCTGATCCTGATTCACTCTCTTTCACAATGCCATAACAATACCCTGGTTCAAACCGTTTAAATCGTACACATGTCGATATGGATGAAACCGAAGATCTATTTCGTGTTTTAGATTTATGAACCTGATTTGTTGTCATAGAAGCAACTGACACACAGATGATCCCTATAATGAAAGATTTCACGATTTCTGTTTGTTCAACAACTTTAAATATAGAAGATGAATACCATGTAATGCTTATATGTGAATAGTATACCGCTATAGAGAGAAAATATCTCTCGCCATATTACAATCAATATTCATCCTTAATAAAATTTACACAGCTCATGCAAACAGGTGACAATCTTGTCCTTCATGACATGGGTAACAATTACAAATTATGAAATACATGATACCTTTTTGGTCATGAATGAAATTATTATAAATGGAAATGTATGTATTTTACTTCAGCATGCGTGATTTAGAATGCTATATTAGTGTATTGTGGGTCGGTGGTCTGTAACTGATATGAATTGTCTGTCAGTCTGTCTTATAAACAGTTAAAAAACCTCAATCCCTTTGCCATTTCCAATGTTGTCTCTCGAATTTGTGGAGAAATGTAGAATGTGACACGTCTTCGTTGATGGCTCTTCTTGTTGAGTGTTCATGGAGACAGCAATCTCTCAATCTGTTATCTTGAAATACATTTGCCAATATTGAGGGTGTGGTGTCCATGCACAAATGTTTGCGTTCTCGCCCAGGCATGTCTACATTCATTGGCATATACAACAGTCACATATATCACATCATAAACGTCCATTTGCAATAAGCACATGGCTGTAGTATTCATGTCCTGTCTTCAACATCGTCACCAACCAAATAAAATCCTTCATCTTTAGTTGTTATGATATCTGTATCTCTATATTTCCAAGGGCAATGGATCTCAAGAGAACTGTTCCCATGGAAGCTCCATGTCCTCATTGTCTATACCCGGACCTTAATATCTTTTAGGTCTCTCCTATAATCCTCATCCTTTCCTGGCTGATGTTGGCAGACGTAATTAATGTGTGATGAGCTTGAAGGTTTATCAAAACTGCTGCAAAGGCCGTTTTATGGGAACCACTTATATTGTTCAAGGTAAGGGGGTCTTGAGTAATTAATGTCTGGCATCATTGGTCGGGTCGTGGTTAAACAATGGTGAGGTGAGGTGAAATGGTGTTTAACGTCGCGTCCAAGATTATTGCCCTTATATAGCGACGTGCATGTACGTGTGTGTATTTGTGTGGCTGCTTGTACTAGTCCGGACTGATGCCGATTTATAGTGATAGCTAGCTGAGATACCATGCCGCAGCTTAACATGAATACCCCACTCAGACACAGTATACTGACTCCGAGCCGACCAGTCCTTGTTTTAGCCCCTTTATGCCGAGCGCCAGACAGGGTAACAACAAGTACCATCTTTTAACGTCTTTTGGTATGACGCGATCGGGGATCGAACCGGTTACACAATAGAGGATGATAGGATTATAGTGACGTTATCGATGGTGAACTGACAAGTGAGCTAAGCAATCAATTTTATTGATGATATTCACTCAATTTATTGTGGAAGATAATCTGACACAACACTAGTGTTATATTATACACAGTAATATATATACATATGTAAATATATTTTAGAAAAAATATGTTGTTTCTTTTCCCCGTGAGTGCTATTATATAAATGTGGCTCTATCCCTGTGGATTATCTTAATGAATTATCAAACATTTCGTCAGTTGATGTACATTTTCTCCCATATATCTATTTCTTTTCTTCCTCCTGTGTCCCACGTCCTTTATATGTTGACATTTAGTATTGTCACAAAGCATGCCTGATGTGGATGGTCGAGGAATATGTGCACTCATACACATCCAGTAGGATCTCCCGACAGCCCCATCTGGAGTCCAATGTCTGCAGTTGAAGATCGCCTGCCCTTTCTCGACTCTTTATTGAGTTTTATGGTATTTAGACAGGTAAATACATTTAAGCCTTTCTGTTCAGTTAAGGCACCGCTGCTATTGCATCTTTACAACCATGACAAGGTCACACATTGGAGAAGTCTAAGGGGGCTAACGAAATGTCTCATTATAGCGCTTGTTAGTTTCCCCAACATGAAACAAGTGGTATATATCAACAGCAGCTCTGCAAATGCAATAAAGAATCATTGGCTCCATGGGAAAGGGAAAACCATGCTTTTACAAAACATTATAAAGAATGACTCATTAAACTCATCGACAGGAGACATTCCATAGTCCATCTGAGAAAGATGCACATACATTATTAACTAATTATTGACGTTTTGCGTATAATGAAACAGGAGAATGACATTGTAATATATGGATTGACTTTTTACAGCAACACTTTTCCACTATTTCATGTTGAGGGGACACTCTTTGATTTCGAAAGGTCTCTTAGACCTGGACAGAGGCATCTGTCCTGTAGAATTTCCTTAGCTTTACATGGCCGGTATCATCTGCATCTTGGAACAAAACACATCATGTGTAATAGAATGCTCTCCCAAAGAAGTACACCCAGTGTTAACCATGTGGTAAATAGTCTTCAATCTGTTGCTGAAAGCTTGTTTTCAGTGTATCACAATGGTGTTTACTGTTTCAAGACATATACGTCATGGTTCAATGACTGTTAATTACTACCTATCACCCTTGTTCTCGGTGTTCTTGGCCTTTTCACTCCCCATCAGTTGCAATGACACAACAAAGTTCGTCTTTCTGCTTTTCTGTGCCATCGCCTGTAAGTTGGACCATGATGACAAAGATGAGGATAAGTCTTCAACTGCTCCAGCTGCTTGTTTAGCATGGCCCTGACACCCCTTTTACATAGAGCCTATTTTACTCTCTTGGATGTCTTGTCTTTCTTTTGGGAAATTGAATTAATTCATTTATTCTGATGCAA